AATCTAGCTGTTCTGCTACAGACCAACAGGGCTGCCCTCTGAAACTGTTAACTATAGAGTACATTTTGCACTTTTGATTACGCAGTATACACTGGGTTATATTTCCAGGTAAGAAATTTAACTATTTTTGTGCTAGATAGAACTGAGGAATCGTGAACAAATAATATGGGAAGACGACACCAGTAGGGGTTCCAGAGTGTGGCAGTGTTCCCTAATGTTCCCATTGCTCTGAAGAGCAGATAAGCAAATGTAATCACTGACAATACATGAGAGACCAATAGTGAGGTTTAAAGTCAAATGATGCTTGTATGATGTTAACTGCTTGGTACCAGTTAGAGATTCTTTAATGTGTAAACTATATGTGATGTCATTTGGGGTATAAGACCTTCAGCCCTTCCTGGTTATGGCAGAATACAGCCCCGTATTCCCTGTATTCAATGCATTAAGCAGATATTCATCTAACTCAGTGGACTCCGACTGTGTGTTTCCAATTCGGCATGGGAGCACATAGGCACAGATTTGTCTATCACTGGGAAACACTTTGCTCAGAGTTCAGCTGCAGGTCTAGTTCTACTCAGGACCTGGATGGGAAGCTTCACGGAATGGAAAGCCATCCTGGATTCCATGATGGAAGAACAGCAAGAGACAAATGTAATATATAAATAAACCGAACAAAGGAAAGGAAAAATGCAAAATGGTACAAGCCAGTACATTTGTAAAGAATGAATTGTGGTACCAGGAATCTGTAAATTTTGGCTGGCCTTAGTATCCAGACAGCACCCAGCTTCCTCGTGGAGGAGCAAACAGCAGCACCAGCTCTGCCTCATCCCTCAGGGAGAGATGGGTCTTCTCCGTGACACCACCCTGAGCTTTGGATATTCTCAGAGCAAACCTGAGTTGCAGTGTGATTGGGGGGGCAAGGTCCCAACATCCTCCCAACTCAAGCAGGGTATGAGAAACAGGAGATACACCTATTATGCTGAGCTTCAGTTGCTCAAAAAGTAACCAGGCATCTCACCACTTTCTAAACATCTCCTGGGATTAGCACAAGACTGGAAAGATCCCAGTCGTCCTCTCAAATCTAGAGAAGTGGGGCTCTCCCTGGACTTGTGATTTCTTTGGAGATGTTCAGGAAGTGGAGAGGTGACTCTAAAGCTTACCTTAGAGGGATCCCTTGCCCTACTCCAAGGTCTACAGAAGGGCTTTTGCCAGATTAAAAAGTAGTAGTCACCAGTGTTCCCTCTAAGCTGAGTTAGTGTGAGCTAGCGCACTGTTTTTTAGCTTCCAGCTCACACATTTTTGTCTTAGCTCAGAAGGATGGCTCCAGAGCAAACTAATTTATGCAAGTAGCCAAATTGCTCGCTCACCACCACTCTGATGCCAGTAGCTCGCAAAGTAGAACTTTTGCTCACAAGACTCCACAGCTTAGAGGGAACATTGGTAGTCACCAGTAGTAAACTGGCAATTACTTTGTGGACCTTTGAGCAAAACCAAAGTAATTTCATATTCCTTCATATACTAGCCTTTCAAAGATGTAAGGAGGAGGAGGAGGAAAAAGAGTGTAATGGAATCCAAGGAATAAGAAGAAAAACATGTAGCATATTTTGACACCCAAGGGAAGAAATTCCGGTGTCTTTGGCAAGCAGTAGACAGGTAGGTATGGCCCAAGTTAGCCTGATCTTGTTAGTTGTTAGAAGCTAAGCAAGGTTGGCCTGGTCAGAACTTGGATGGAAGACCACCAAGGAAGTCTGGAGTTGTTAGCCGGAGCCTGCCGATAGCAAACCCCCTCTTTCCTGGAAAACCCTACAGGTTGCCGTAAGTCAGCTGCAACTTGATGGCACTTCACACACACACACACACACACACATGACTTTTGGTTCTAAAGCTTCTGATAAGAGTAATTTACCTGCCATTACTTACTTGAAGGAGCTATGCTAATTAGTGGTCTGCAGCTAGTCCAGCTACAGGATTTCAGTTGCTGAGTCTAAGCTGGTTTTTCATGGACAACGTGTAGAGACAGTGCCAAACACAGCTCCATTGGTTGTAATATAATAGAGCAGCTCAAAAACTTTTAGACTGCCATGTACAATCCTGCTACTGTGGATAAGAATCAGTATCACAATCCATTATCTCTGGATACCAGTCCAGTAGGAGAGATCTACTCCAATGCTCCTTTACGCTCACATTACTGTGGATTGCATTTCACTCTCTAAATATTGGAAGGGGCTTTGAAAGCAAAGTAATTTGAGCAAGTGTTTTGCTTTGCACACTTCTCTTTTGAAAGAGCAGGGCCAGATTTTTGCTTTAATCCCTTCACAATGGTTTTGTTTTCTTCATTGCTGTTATTTTAGTCTGACCAATGTGGATGACCTAATTAAAGGCAAGAGCAGTGAAACTTTAATGGTCAAAGTGATGGACTGGAATTCGTTAGCACACCTCTGACTCAGCTTGAACTTGGAAGCCGGTTAATTGTTATGTAGCTCTGTTGTCCGTCCATAAAGTTTTTATGCTTACTTTTTTTGCAAAGTGCCTGGAATTCTTGCATGGTGTCTCAGTGTGCCTTTGCCTTCTTTGCGAATGCTTAGTTCCCTGCATGGCTTTGCTCCTCCAGGAGGAAACTGGGTGCTGCCAGTGGGGTGGGTGAGCAAAGCAGCAACAATGTCAGGGGTGGAAGGGGCTTTTGCAGGTGGTGCTAGCTGCTATCAGAACCAGCGGTCACTGCAGTTGCTCTGAGGCTTCTCATTACGTGCAAACTCTTGTGAAGTAAAAATGGTTCACTAGTTAGGATGCTTATTCTTCATTTCCCCACCCAGGAGATCCAAAGCAGCTTATAACAATAAAAATGCAATCAAAGCACAATACAATAAATATATAAACAAACAGAATAACCAGCTGTATCTTGGGCTTCTTGAGTCTAGAGAGCCAGCCTCCCCAAGGCCACAAGACACAAACCACAGGTGAAGAGCCAAAATCCCAAGAGCCCTTTGGCTCTTTTCCTTCAGCTGGCACTCAAGGACTCATGACTTTGGTCAGGAAACAGGATGAGCAAGCAAAAAGATAGCTTAGTTTAGATGGTGTTGCTGACACTCCTAATCTTCCTTCACTACTCACAGAGCTTCTGGCCAGTATTTTGTTATAAAAGAAAGAGAAGGGAGCTCCCGGTCGCCACCGAAGGCAATGGCGGCCGGGGGCTGGTTTGCCGCCGCAAGGAGGGGGGGCGGCGCCCTGGTTTTTTTTCTAGTGTAGGCTGAGGTTGGTCGCCCAAGGGGGGCAGGTAGGAATTTTTCGCTATTACCCAGGATTGGCAATTGGGTGGTAGTGTTTTCACCTACCTTACACTGGAGCAGTGGAACAACAGGTTTAGGGCGTGGCTGTTAAATAGGTTGGTCACTTTGGCAGAATAGGGCAGGGATAAGGAAGCGGAAAATGGTGAGCACCTTAAGCCGCCCCGTGTTTTGGGAACTGGGGGACTTCAGGAATGGCCTGCGGGCTACTAAGGCCCTGGGCAGTGAATGATGATTCCCTCTGGGAACCTCTTGGGTAAGCTCCTCTCTGCAAGCTGTAGGGTTTCAGGGGTAGGAGCTCCTGGGAGGCTACCAGTGGCTGGGCTCCTGGTCGCAAGCCAGATTAATGGCTCAAGACTGGGGTTGGTGGCTCGCCCGCATATTAGACAAGGAGGTTGGTTAGCCTGACACCTGCCTTGTCTGTTCCGCTACCTAGGAAGTGCTCCCTTGCCGGGTTTTTGTTAATAAACTGTATATAGTTAATAAAGTGGCCCTTGTTTGATCCAAACTGTTGTCCATCTCGTTATTCCGACTGTGGGGGCAAATGGATAGCTTGGGTTGATGAATGTCTTGGATAGAATGGAATCACCAAATTTACAAGTTTCAAAAGTCCTTGGGTTAGGCCATTTCAAAAAGTCCAAAATGGTGTTGACCAAGTGGACTGTAGACTCCTAGAGGTCCTGGAACAGCCACTCTGTCTCAGAAGCAGCCAACAGGCAGAATCCAGCACAAAAGAACCGTGTGATTTTCCCATCACATCTTTTTTTAAACTTAAAACTTCTCAGTGTTGTAACTGGGTCGAACTGGCACACCTCCAGAGTCCTTGGCCAGTAAAAGCAAGTCATGTATCTTGCCATGTATGGGAATGGGTAACCACAATCTTCCAAGGGTAACAACATCCAATTGGCAATTCAACTAAGTATCCTTGGAGAGACTATTAGAATATAGACCTCACTTCCTAGAAGAGCCTGGTGACAAAAGAGATATGACAAAGCATTTGCTGTGCCAGGGCCAGGGATCCCGGCCTCCAGGTAAGACCTAGAGTCCCCTGGAATTAATTACAGCTAATCTCCGGACTACAGAAATAAGTTCCCCTGGAGAAAATGGATGATATGGAGGGTGGACTCTATGGCATTGTATTCCACTGAGGTCCCTGTCCTCCCCAAATCTCCAGAAGTTTTCCCTCCTGGAGCTGGCAACCCTATCCCCGATACCCCACCAGTGGCCAGGAGGGGGAGACCTAGCAACCCTAGCCAGAGCAGACAGGATTAAACAAAGGAAAAGCAATTTTGTGCCTATTTTAGGGTGTTTTGTTTGTTTTACAGTCTCACTTTCAAAATGGAAGCTATCAAGCAAATGTAAAACAGCCATCATATTATGTTTAACCATTGCTGAGCTTAAAAAAAATATTTTTTTTGTAAAGAGATCGCAAGTATTCACCAAAGGTGACAATGCAGGAAGCTATCTGTAAGCCTATAAGCCTCTATGCAGGGTCAGTTTCCATACCTAATGTTCCATGAGCCCTAAGTAAAAATAGAAATAGCTAGTTGGCTTTGATTTTTGTGTGTTGAATAAAATGTTCCTAGTTAATGACAACAACAGAACTTTGCATAAGAGGCGTAATAAAAATGAAAGAGTTCTGAATCAAATGCTTATCTCTGAGGCACTCATACCTACTGCATGTTTACTATACTTTTTCTCCCCTCTACCCTCCAGCTTTTTTTGGAAAGTACCTAAATGAATATAATGGTTCCTATGTGCCTCCTGGCTGGAAAGAATGGGTTGGATTGCTTAAAAATTCTCGTTTTTACAACTACACACTCTGTAGAAATGGAGTAAAAGAAAAGCATGGATTTGACTACTCTAGGGTAAGTCCTATTGATTTATACTAATTTCCTCCCCTTGGCCACAAGTGTGAGAACATTGACGATGTCTTATGGCATTGGTCTAATTAAAGTATTCATTTCATATTTGAAAGCCACTGCTGGTAATATAAACTGCAATCCATAAATGTGCTCCCTTAGACTGTACATTAGCATTTTACTTCTGGAGGGATGTATAATTTTAAATTTACTTCGTGACAGCAGGCAGTTCTTGAGACGGTAAACACTCTAGTATGTCCTACCAACTGGGAAATGGATTTGATTGTAGCTTAACTCGTATTCTATTGACTGGGGCTCTCTGCTTTAATTAACACAGAGAGATGCTCTGATCTGAATGCATGCAATTAATTCTCTAATTGAGAATCACTGTGTTGTTGTGGTATGCCGATTTTTGGAACAATCTGGGATACATTCAGATATCCTGATAAAATATTATTTATAAACCTGTGGTTTCATCAAACTGGGGTTAGTCTGAATGCAATCAGTCCAGTAAACCAGTGGCTTGGATCCAGCAGAGCATTTCTACAGATGGAAAGATTTCTCTCCACAGAGTGTGATTTGCCTTACTCCTCCCCTGCAGGTCAAAATACCCTCCTGCAGGTGGGCAGAGGCAAGAAATTTATGCTCTGTGTGTGGAAATATGATGGATCCAAGCCAGCATTTCAATCTAGGATTTGTATCTGGGTTGTTAACCACAGTGTACTCTAATTGGGTGGGCAATAATCCACAAAATGGAGCTAGGGTCACAGGGAGATAGAAGACAAGTCTACATTTGTCTATAAACCTGAAGGAATTTGAAAAATTTGAAATCTTAAAAAAGAGGAGGATTAAAACCTCCAAAATTAATAAAAATCAAAGTCTGTAGCTTCCAGAAAGGAGTACCCACAGAGCTCTCAGTGACCATTTGGGAGGTTGCTGAGCCTTCCAAGCCTTGGTTTCTGTAAACCAAAGCCATGGGAGGGCGGAGTGGATTAGAAGGTCAAAACATTCCTGGAAAGGATCCCATTCTCCTCCTGTCATGACCCCTGGTAGAGGAGGACTGACTTGGGGACAGGCCCAATAGTGACCACCAGAGATTCACTAGTCACAATTGTCCCAGTGGTAGCCCCCACACAACTGGGCTTATAATGGCAGTAGCCACTACATGAGTGGCTTCAGCCTGGAAGCCATTGTGTAACTGAGCCAGCCCTGCTGCCAGCTGCTGCACACCTGGGCCATGCCTGGCACAATGACAGCAGTGACCACTGTACAAGTGGGCCAGGCACCAGCAGCCATTCTGCAACAGCCAGACTTTCTCTTGGGAGAGGCTGCCGGGGGAGGGAAGAAGCGAAATCTTGGAAGCAGATAAAGGTGGATTGACTGATAGGTGCAAAGAAGAGAAGGAAGCAGGAAAATGGGAGAACCTACAGGGGCTTCCAGCGAACAGAAAGAAGAAATAGCAGGGGAGGTAATACCTGGGAAAATTAGATGCCCTATGCAAGTCCTTGCTGGTCCCCTGCAAACCTCTCTTGTAATATCTGAATATTCTTCATCTGCCCCCCTCCGTTATTATCATGGCCATTTTATTGGTTCTTAATATTTTAGATACCATATGGAATTGCTTCTTGTAGTTCAGTTTATTTAGAAAATGTATATGCCTCCTCTCCAGAGAAGTACTCAAAGAGTCCACATGAAATTGCATCCATGTGGTAGATACTGTATGTTGTTTTATGTTTTACATTCACTATTGCTTCTCAAATTTGTGGTATTATAAATAGTAGTTCCACATTACAGTAAAGTACTGGGAGATCCAGCTTCAGATTATTCTTTACTGAAAACTCACTTGATTGCTTTAGATAGATCCCTCTTTCTCCACCTCAGCTCTAATTCTGTAAAATGGAAATAACTGGGAACTTTAGTTTACAGTAAGGATTTGGAAATACTTGGAATTCACTAAGTTATCATTCTATATAGTATAGGGTTGTCAGCCCCCCAGATCCCAGCAGGGGATCCCCCCGTTTCAGGGGCTTCTACCACCACAAACCAGCTGGCCAGTGGAGGAAACCCTACCCCTAAGCAGTGACACTGCCACATGTCATCCCCAACGTGATGACATCACCTGGAAGTGATGTCGTTGTGTCAGGGATGTCATGCAGGGGATGCTCTGGTTTTTGGGCACATTCTGTGGTTTAAGTCCAATTTTACCATAGATTTTGCCCAAAAACCAGAATGTCCCCTGCATCCCTGCCCATACCTGGAACACCCCCCAAATCCCTTCGCCGAAGCAGCAAGGGGACCTGGCAACCCTAGGATAATAGGAATATTTCTTGATATTCAAAATCCTATGCACTCCAATAGTAAGCAGGCTGGGTTGCCTGGGAAATGAAAGTGAACCATATTCTCCAGGCAGGCTGGCACCAAGCGTGATGGAGGAAAGGGAGATGAGTGTTCCCTGATTGGTTTTCCCAGGTGAGGAGGGAAATGGGGTAAGAACAGAGCCTGAGACTGTTGCCAGTCTGTGTTTATGGGAACCTGAGTTAGGGCTTGACAACAGAAAGCTGTTACACATTAGGCCCTTTCCAACTAAAAGGTGAGCATAGCTGCTTTATAATTCCCCTGTGTCCCCTGACAACTTGCTGTTGAAGACACTCTGCATGCTGAAAGAGATCTCTCTGTGTCCCTTTACTAGTACCTTATCCTGCGTTTGCTTCCCTTAGTGTATATAGTTACTTAATACTTAGATAAAAGATTTTGGATTAGTAGATTCTTAGATCAATTAGACTGTAGTTTTATAGGAAGATTTAAATTAGGCTCCTTGGGTGGGGAGCTTTTAAGCATGGTTTGTTAGACATATGGATTACACACACACAGAGATGAAGCTGCCTTTACTGAATCAGACTCTCAGTTCATTTAGGTCAGTATTGTCTACTCAGACTGGCAGTGGCTCTCCAGGGTCTCCAGTGCAGGACTTTCGCACCAACTAGTGCAAGATTCTCTAACTGGAGATGCCGTGGATTGAACCCCCAAGACTTTCTGCATGCAAAGCAGAAGCTCTTCTGCTGAGCCACAGCCCATCCTTGTTAGATTTAGATATAAGAGATCTATAAGACTTTGTGTATCTGTGTGAGAGAGTTTCATCTTTTTTTCTCCCTGTACTGCCGTGGATGTTGTTTTGGCAGGAGTGTGTGTGCGCGCGCATGCTCTGAAACACAGGCATGAAACAGGCACTGTTTGTCACAGATAATGGGTCAAATATGGTGCCTGCATTCCAGACTGGGAAGATGAAGATGATGCAGTGTAGCCGACACCCTACAACTGGTGGCTTGTTGTGATTTCCAGGGTATGAAAGACAGGCACATACCTAACATAATCAAGTGGGCCAAAAAAAGTGACAGGGCATTTCCACTGCTTTGAGCAAAAGGACAAAGAGTGGGGATTACTTTAGAACCACATAATTTAAGACATAACAATCAAGTAGAATTCTACTACCTTCTTAAAAGAGTCCCAGAGAAGCAGAGGACTTGCCCTAGAGATTCCCAAATGTGTGGCCCACTCCTCTTTGAGGGTATTATGTCTCAAGTAGTTTATGTTCTTTGAAACTATGAATACATATATGTGCACGCACATACACACATGTATATATATAATATGTGTGTGTGTGTGATAATTGGTGTTTTAATATTTGAAAAGTGGGGACCCTGTATTGAGTGGATAGGTGACAGACTCCTGAATTAAAAGGTAGGCAATGGATAAATAGGTACTGCTTAGGTGGGAAGGTAACAGCATTCCGTGCACCTCCGCGTTTAGTCATGCCGGCCACATGACCATGGAAATGTGTTCGGACAGTGCTGGCTCTTTGGCTTGGAAATGGAGATGAGCACCACCCCCTAGAGTCAGATTCAACTACCTTTTGAGCAAGGGAAACCTTAATGGATACTAGGTAGAAACGAGTGCCAGCCAGTCTTCATCAGAGCTAATAAGATCCTGCTGGACGAGATCAGATAGACAAAGAGGAACCTCACAGTGCCCTCAGCCCCCCTCACAGCAAGACCCACCAATTGCCTCCCAGAATCTAAAGTGCCCAGTGATTAAGATGTAGAATTCATTGCCCAAGGATGTAGTAATAACCACAGGTGTAGACAGCTTTAAAAGGGGATTAGAGAGATTAATGGAGGAGAGGTCTATCAGAGGCTACTAGCCATGGTGACTAAAGGGAATCTCTATGATCAGAGGCCATCAACCTCTAAATCCCAGTGCCAGGACACAACATCAGGGGAAGGCCTTGGCCTCTATGCCCTGTTCGACCTCCAGAGGAACTGGTTGGCCACTGTGTGAGACAGGATACTGAGCTAGATGGACCACTGGTCTGATCCAGCAGGGCTTTTATGTTCTTATGACCTAAGCGGGCATGTTAGTCACTCAGCAGCTGTGCCAATGTTGGATCAGGCCAAAGGCCCATCCAGTCCAACACTCTGTATCCCACAGTGGCCAGAAATACCAGTGCCATCAGGAGGTCCACCAGTGGGGCCAGGACATTAGAAGCCCTCCCACTGTTGACCCCCCCCCCCAAGCACCAAGATGACAGAGCATCACTTGCCCCAGAGTCCCTATCTATACCTTGTGGCTAATAGCCACTGATGGACCTCTGCTCCATATGCTTATCTAATTCCCTTTTGAAGCCGTCCATGCTTGTAGCCGCCACCACTTCCTGTGGCAGTGAATTCCAAGTGTTAATCACTCTTTGGGTGAAGAAGTACTTCCTTTGCTCCATCACACTAAGTATTGTATATTTAGACTGGCAGTGACTCTCCAGGATCAATGGCTGGAGATGCGGGGAATTGAACTTGGGACCTTTTGCATGTCAAGCAGATGCTCTGCCACTGAGCCATGGCTCCTCCCCATTCTGTCATCTTATTCTTGACAGTACTTGTGACACATCCATGAAGCAACACGCAGTTGCAGGTAATAGTCCTCCATGACCCACTCCTGGTGAGATAGCATTCAGT